GGAAAGTAGTATACCTTCTTTAATAATATACACTATTTTTAATTTCCTCTGCAGTTACCTTTAATCATCTTTGACAGCTATTGTTTTTTCAATTTGTTATTGTTGGTTAAGTGGTGAGAATATTTTTCTTCTAATCTTTTAAATCTCTGCTTATTATTTTTTCTTTGTTACTTTAGTTTACTTGCTTTATGAGAAATCTGGTGATTTCTTAGTCTTAAAAGCTCCAAATATTTATGGTGATATCGATTATAAAATGAAAGGATCTAAATCATACATTTTAATTTCTTTCTTTAAGAAATATTTTATTGTGATCTCATTTCTTGTCTTATTTTAGAAACAATTTGAATGTGCTTTAATATCTTGCGTAGTATAAGGAGTTAGTGGTTTATATTTATTATACTTTAGATTCTTTAAACGTAAAATAATAACAATTATAAAAGTACTTTAAGAAATAATGGTTAGCGTTTTATTTATATTTATTGGAATAACTATCAAATATATGTAAGCTACTGCTAATGAAGATGTAATAGCAAATGAAACTCTTCTAAAAATTGAATTACTTGGTAGTATAATTATAATATCTATACTTATTTGTTTATTAATAAGTACATCATTGTAGCTTATTAGATATGCATTCTTAATTTAAGACCTTATAAAAACTTACAAAAAAAATAAAAGAGAAAAGTAATTAAAGCAAATAGAACTAGAACCCCTAATTAATACATATTTATTATAATAACTACAATCAAAATCGAATTCAATTTTTATTAGAGCTAGTTCATATAGCATTACTAAAAAAAGATTATTCAAAAATAACAATTGAAAAAAATTCATCATGTTTATTTCAAATCATTTAGTTAATATTAAGTTTTAAAATATTAGCCCGGTTTTTTCATTTTGGTATATATAATTGATTAATTTTTGTTTATTATTCAATTTTAATACAATTATATAACCATGGAAAAAAGCACGTGCATTAGCATGTACAGCTTGCTAAATTTTAAAATAAAAAAAGATATTAAGTATATTTATTTATATAGTATAAATAAAGCTCTATTTAATGTTATATATAGAAAATTTTATGAATTAGATTTAACCATTAAAAATTTGTCAATAAATTTCTAATTAATTAGTTCTAAAAAATTGCCCTCCAGTCGAAATGCTTGGAAGGCTAAAAATTAGGCATAATAGGTAGAATGTCATTTTTTCTACCTATTAACCCATAAAGGCTCCGATTGTAAATTCTCTAATTTTTAAATATATAACTTGTAATTTTGTCTAAATATTTGATTTTTCTTTAAAATATTGAGAAATAAATTTAAAATTAATTCTACATACAATAAATAATTAATTAAAATTTTTTCTAGTAAATATGTTTTTGTTTAATCTTTTTAAAAATAAAACAAGTTTCATATCATTGGTATAAAATAATCAATGTAAAATTGAATTAATTCATATTATAATATAGAAAGTAATTGGTTGAGAAAACTAAGATAAATTTTAGATTTTATTATTTGAAATTTATTAACTAATATTAAAAAAAATAATAAGAGGTTAAAAATTAATTTATTTATTTATTACTTTTTTTAATGTTTAATCTTTTCAATCAATTAATCAATTCTTACTTTAAAAACTTCCAAATAATTTAATCATAGAATAAAAATATTCTATATCCGTATTTTTTTATTAATTTTAAACCCAAGTCAATTTATTGATTGAATTTGAATGTGGCTTTGAGGATATTTGCTTTATTTAGAATTTATTAGATGCATGAAATTAATTTTGTTATTAAAAAAGAAAATTTATCATTAAAACTTTTTTAATTTGCAAAGAATAATTGATCTACTAAGATTTACTTTTGATTTAGAAAAATAGATAACATGGAATGGTTGTATTTTCATAGATTTAGTATGAAGATATTAATTAAATTTCATTTTAATAATTACAATTTCTTAAGGAAAATTGTTTAGCTTTAGTCATATTAATTAGTATGAGACAGCTTTTACAACAAAATATAAATATAATTTAAATATGTATTCATATTTAAATAAATAAACAAAAGTAATAGATGTAATCTTATTTCTTCTGAAGTTAAGTTTTTAGATAAACACCTTTTCTTTATTTGAAAAAAAATATTAATTAAATATTTTGTCATTTTTCTACCAAAATTTAGGTAATTTATGATATTAACAATATAATAGATAAATTAAATTTTTAAATATAAAATTGATAACATTTAAAATAATTTTTTATTAAATATTAATACATATAAAAAGATTGTTTACTGAATCAATACTATGGCAACAATAATCCATAAAAAATTTGAACGTTTTTATGCATTAATCACTTAAGCAATATATATAGGATAATCAAAAAGTTAACTATGAGAGCTTATCAATCATCCAAATAATAAATTAAAGTGGGTAATTTTTTAGCATTAATCATATTAACCTAATCAATTCATCATTAGTACGAGGGTATAAAAATAATTTATATATTTATAAAATTTAAATAAATAAACAAAAATAATAGATGTAATCTTATTTCTCCTGAAGTTAAGTTTTTAGATAGAAAAATACCTTTTGTTTCATTGACAAAAAAATTTAATTAAATATTTTGTCATTTATCAACCAATATATATTTAGTTTATAAGATTAAAAATCTGAATAAATAATTGATAAACTAAATATTTTTAAATGTAAAATTGATCGCATTTAAAATAAATATATTTTTATTAAATAAAAATATTAAAAAAAATATTTTATCAAAAAGATTATTTGATTCTATTTTCTTATTTAAAATATGCATTTTATTAGATAGATTAATATTCTGTATTAGAGATAGAATAATTTATATATTCTAATTTTGAAAAAAGGACTACATATCAAATTAAAATCTGATGATTAAAGTCAATTTAGTTTTTGAATTGTGATTGATTTACATAAATTAGGAAATAAAATAAATAAGTGTTTTCCATTCTATTTTAGGTTACTAAAATTTGTATGGAAAAATTGAAATTAATTAATTTTTTACATTTAAACACCATAAATTTAAAATCATAAAATTAAGATACCTTTACTAAGATATTTAAAGGCTTCTAATTATTTAACAAGATAAAAGTTTGACTTATAGATTAAATTTGAAAATATTTCTTACAAAAAATATTTTTTATTGATTGATTGAATTTAATAAATAAATTTTAGTCAAATAAATTTATCTTTGCCTACATAATTTTATTATGTTTCTATAAATTTTCTTAGAACAATATTATTTATTAATTCTTACTTATTTAGTGGTCAATAATCTTATTGATTAGCTTAACATGTAATTAAAGAGAAATCTATTATTTACTTTTATTAATTTTTATATCTAGAGACTTTATAGGTTTGATTACCTACTAAAAAAAGATCATCACTAGAAAGATATCTATGCATCCACAAAATATATAAATTTTTGTATTTTTTGTTTAGGAAGGAGCTTGTGACTTTACCATTTTAATAATTTCTTTCATTTTCAAAGTATTATTACAAATTATTCATGATAAATAAATTATAAAATTAATAAGCAAAGCAAGATACCATTTTTTTAGCTTCTTTCTAAGAAGCAAATTTAAGTAATTTTGGAAAAATTTATTTTGTTTGATTTTCTCATTCTTCTCTAAAAAAGAAGAAATTAATTAGTGAATTGACCATTATTTTATTCTTTGAATTAATATTTGAGATTAATTAAAAAATGCAAACAAAACTTAATTATAAAGAAAAAAAAGAGGTATAAAAACATAAAAGCTAAGTAAAATATGTTACTTTTTATCATTTTAATTTTCACTTCATTTATTAGATGTGATGATTTTCAAATAAATTTAGTTACAGATGGTACTAATTCTAGTACTAATGTTGTTTTAAATAATTTGAATTCCTAATAGTGTTTGCCAAACTCTTGTAATAATCAATTTTGCAGCGGTATTTTTGAACTTTCATAGTTAAGTACATCAATACATACTAATACTTTGATATTTCCACATTTTCAAGTAGCATCTGTAGTTGATGTAGGAGTAACAAATAATGCAATAACAAATGGTATTAAGAATATTATTTAACTTACAGATGAAATAAGTATGTAATATACTAATTTTAGTATGGATGATTATTCAAATTTTGCTGTTAATGCTGATTGCAATATTTATTCTTATAAGCTTACTTATTTTTTTTAAGCTTTGAGTATTATGAATACGGGGAGTGACTCAATGACAACTTCAATCAACGACTATAATACACCTGTACATTCTTATATTTATAGATACTAAATTAGCATTAACACTTGTCATCCTACATGCTTATTATGTAATGGAATAACTTTAAATGACTGCACAAGGTGTTAATAAGTATCAAGTTTTTCGAATGGATCAAGTGGATCTTGTTCTTGTACAAATTCTTCAGACTATTTTTAAAATGGATAATGCGTTAATTCTTGTTCTACCAATTATGTACCTAATGGTAAATATTGCTACTATAATTATGGTTGTTAAACTCCTGACCCATCAAATAACGGTAAATGCTAAACTTGCGCAAGTGGATATTATAATAATGACGGAATTTGCTAGACCCAAAACACTGTACCTCCAGGATATATCCAATAAGGATCTAATTTTATATTAAAAGCATCTTAAAATCCATAGTAAGTTTAAAATATTTAATATTATCTTAAGGCATTTACTAGCTATACTTTTTCTGATTTAGAGGTTACTAATAAAGGTTTTTCTGTAACTCCTGGAAGACCACAGTAACCTTTAGTTACTTCTTGTAAAGGCGTAAACATCTTGGGTGGTTTTATGGTTATCTAATATAATACAGTCATACAGTTCCCTTCTATTAGAATTTCTACTTAGTATTACTAAATCTTTTTTACTGTTTATTTGATTGATTTTGATACAAATTTGTCACCATCATACATAAATGTTGTGCTCTCTGATGGAAGCCAACTCTCCAGTTACACTGTTTCTACTAATAAGTCTACAGCATATTATTGCGGATTAAATTA